TTGTCTTTTGTACTTGTACCGCTGATGTTGATTTCGAAAAAAAATTTTTCTACGCGAAGAGTACAGGACGATAAATTCCGCAGATACCACGTACGTTGAGAATCAATTTTATGCGAAGCATGCGGAAGGATGGCGACTCTGTTGTAATTTTTTATAGAGCAAAACGTTACGAAACGATGCTAAATATATATACAAATTTATATACATGTCGAACAGTCACGTATGTTTTATACACTCGTATATATATAGTTAACAGTTGCGTAACGATGCCAACAGTAACAGCTAGCCCGGACGGTAACCAAGAACATTGCAACTTAAATCATCTTTAGTACAAGGTGCTTGACTGCCAAGTGACTGCGATCCCGAGTAACGGCTGCATCATGGAAGATTTATAAAATAAGAAATCTAGCACAGCAACCACGATTGACGTTTCTGGAACATTAGGATCTATTCGAAAATCATTTATGAGACCTGGTGTGGATCTGCTTCAGAATACTTCAGTGTCACGTGAAGTTGTGGGGTTGATTCGTGCTGAGACCCCGACATTTTTCCTTTGGATTCGTTGGGTCAATGCTGCTGATGTTGTCGACGGTTTCGAAAGGAAGTTACTAATGTATGTTCTCATCGTCCTTGAGTACCTACAAGCTCTCAATCGCTTGTGGCACATGTCAGTCATTTGTGGCATGTCAGTAACTTTTGGCATGTCAGTCACTAGTGGCACGTCAGTCACTTGTGGCACATACTCGCCCGTGGTATACGGGTATGTGCCACAAGTGTCTCGCGGAAAGTGTTTGATGACGTATGCGATAGAATTGTCACATTTTTTTTGTCATGACCAGCGAAACATATTCCTCAAAGCATCTCACCCACCCATGCAAATTTCTGTTTACAACAAGTTAGGGGGGTGATACCAAGAGCCCCTAGACGTGGGCGTATAGATAGATAGATAGATAGATAGATAGATAGATAGATAGATAGATAGATAGATAGATAGATAGATAGATAGATAGATAGATAGATAGATAGATAAATAGGTAGATAGATAGATAGATAGATAGATAGATAAATAAATAGATAGATAGATAGATAGATAGATAGATAGATAGATAGATAGATAGATAGATAGATAGATAGATAGATAGATAGATAGATAGATAGATAGATAGATAGATAGATAGATAGATAGATAGATAGATAGATAGATAGATAGCAATAAGCAAAGAGAAGCTTCGCATTTATATTGAGGATGACAAATGAGCTTACGAAGCAAAAAACATCCACCTGACTTCATTCACCTGAATATAAGTTGATTTAGAGGCTATTAACGAATAAAAAAACACCAAAGTTGTTTATGAGGAAGTTATAAATCGCTTGTTTTGACAAAAAGATTGCGAATCTTGGACTACATCACTGAAGGTTTAAATCAAAACTGTACGATTCTGATTTCTAATCGGGTTGCTTCTAAAGGTTGTTGCTTGACCATGTGTAGGCTATGCTAGCTTATATCTAGATTGCTTCAAGGTCGCTGCGAGGCTTGAACGATTTGATGTTCATGCCAGATGGTTTTTAGACATATTCTCAGCGTGGAGGTTCGAGTTAAAGCCCAGGTCGTCACAGACAAATTAAACATCACAGTTGACAAAGTTTCACCGTTCTAAGGATCATTCCTCGCTGTTCGGCTCCTCCTACACAGGTTCTAGAGCACTGACAAACAATTTGCAAAAAAAATATGTGCACGAAAAATGCCCACATTTCTTTGCTAAAGTTTAGGGTCAGCCTGCCTGGCATCAGGATTCGACAATGGGGCCTGTACTTTTCTGGATGAAAGGCACGACCATTGGAACTAACCATATAGAAATAGCTATAGTTGGCAAGCCAAGCCGAATGATTCAACAATACGAAACAGAGCAAACTAAAACTTAGTGAGTACGTCATGCATCAGCTTGCAGTGTTCCAGAAACGCTGCGAAATAGAAAAAAAATCGGAATACTTCACATGCTAAGCTAGCACAATACCCGAAAGAAAGCTTGTATTGGGTGCCCAGTAAAAGAAATGAAAAATATAAAAACAACATAAAATTCTTTTATGAACGTTGCCCTATGTAGCAGCCTTCCCCTGAATCAAATTACGGTACAAAGTCACATTCTATTGGGGCGTGATCAGAAGCCAAACCAGAAATTTAGTCACGCTAATATGCAGATTAAATGACTCGCGCATATGCGTAGAAACCGTCACTTTAGCCGGAGCAGAGAAAAGTCAAGAGTGACGGTTAATAACTTCATTAGGGGCTGCCTAGCACTCCTATTTACCGATTCGTTACGGCGTCCACGAGGGCGCTTTGCCGAGGAAGGTCGACCATGTCACGCACGTAATGAGATCGCATAATGCAGTCTCCTCGGTTCGACAAAAGCATTGCGTGTGGCTTCGCGACGTTCTACCCAACGGTTCGCACAGGCACCGCGGCACCTCCGTTGTATAAGCATGTAAGGGTTTGGGTAACAGATAGCATAACGGGGGATGCCCTCTACCCTTCCAGTTTATGTGCTTACAGGCTGCGCAGAAGAATGGATTGTAGACAATTACATTGCAAAGGATTACGCTGTCCATTGTTGAGTTATGCCTACTTGCTTCCGCAGCGCGTTCTTATTCATCTTATAACGCTGACCTGACCTTCAAAGGCAGCAGTCACATTGAAGCGGAAATTCGGATTACTCTGTACTTAATATACGTGGAAAGAGGAGACGCCCGTTTCAGTCAACACCCATAATAAACCTATTTTTACATATTTTTTACCTTATATACATCTTGCTATCTATCGTATGGCTCAAGGGAAGCCCTTACCGAAAGCATATTTTTTGCGGCCATTTTATGAACTAACATATGGCTTTGTAAAGTGCGTGAACATGACAACTTGAATCAGTCGAGAACTACCATCTTTTGTCGTGTCCTTCACATCACCTAAATCAAGCTCTACCCTCAACTCGCAGGGTTCTGCAGCGAAAGCCAACTACAACGTTCAAAACGCAATGTGGCAAAGGGAGCTCTTGCGTCACTGTACCCTGTGCAATTTCTATTCATTCGGCATGACGTACATGCGTGATTGGCCGCTTTAGGCTTTTTTTTCACCAAAATTTCTCGAAACACAATGAGTGTGCTAGCAGTTACTGTCGAACTGAAGTAATTGATCCCATCGCCCAAACGCTTCACGACGTTAATGCATTACTGTTTGTAATGTGTGTAGCGGTGTTGCATTCGTGCAGTTTTTTCCAAAGTAAATCTCACATATCTTGCAGAAAATTGCATAATTGTTACCATTGGTCAGGTTCGTCACGATCAAGCACATCAGCGTATACCCTTTTTGCGTGAGTTCACGTGCGAAGAAGGAGTGAATGTGCGATTGTACAGCTCGTCAGTGATTTAACACACAAGTATGCTGTAGCCATCTTCCCAATTGGATGTGTGAAGCTGAAAATTCTAGTAAGAAAATATTTCAGCCAAATAAGGAGGTACGGCATACTATCAGTGAAGCCGAGTTACCAATGAAATACGCGCCCTGGAAATAAGCGTTTTGTGAATTTGACCACTTATTCCTTATAGCAACAAAGCTTTTAATGCAGTACCTAATTTATTTCTACACTTCAGGCTCTTGAATTAAAAAAAACTATATTTGTTGGTAGCAACTAGAAGCATGAAAACCCAAGCCACTTTTGTGTCGCACACTTTTCTTCATTATGCATGGGGCGCACAACTGACTCTTCTGCAATGTGTGACAAAATGTGAGTGACGGAATTTTGTTTCACAAAGCACTTTCATTTGTCGCCACGGCACTCGCTCTCTGGATTTCGTGCCGGCCGGTTGTGCCCCCGCGATCTCCGACGACAGTGTAACTCTGGCCGACTGGGCTCACCCTACGCCATCTCCCGACGCCGACAAGAGCTCTCGCCGAGTGGTGCCCCGTCCTCGGACTCCTGCGATCGTGTTCATCTTTCCTATCTCCTGTTTACTTTCGTAGTTTTCCGTTGTTCGCTGTCCCCCTGCGCCTCACTCTCTCCTTCCTCTCTCTATCTATCTCTTTACCTTTTAAATCTATCCTCTAATCCCTCCTTTACCGCCACCCCCCGTGAGATACTGTTGAGGTGTCCTCCCCCTGAGAGACAATTACGGGGCTCACTTCTATTTTATTTTCATTTCAAATCACTCACATTTGTCGTCTTAATTTTATGGTACCGTTAAGCACATGCATGGTTTCCGCTAGCCGACAATGTCTTTTCGCGTGGTTTGATATCTCCCGCTTCATATTGTGCAACCGTCTTCAATTCGCCCCGTGCAAGAATACCACGTGTCACTGTGAGAACTTGGAGCCACACTGGGCAAGGACAGGTCAGTGATGACGGTCGTTTCAATATCCCAGAGAAAAAAAAAAGACGCAAAAGACTGAAGACGCAGTCGACACGTTTTAGAGGCTCCCATCACCGGCTTAGGAAACGTGCTCAAAGAAACTCCCTTTTTTCCTTGAATGTGACAGGCTGGCCGCAGAATTTGGAAAGATTTAAAAAAGCACACGCGAAGACCCTCAAGCGTGCTGCGATCGCATTGCATAGAAGTCGGAGACATGCGCGGACAGGGAGCTAAAGTGGGAGGATGAAGAGGAAGGGCGAGCGGGCGAGGCGCCGTCGGCGACAACTTCACGTGCGCCATCTGTCTTCGCAAGAGCCGAAATAAAGAAGTAGAAGGCAAAAGCGTCCGGGCCAAGGAGGCGAAGCGCAATAACGTAGCACAAAGCCGAGCCCTGGAGCCAGAACGCCGCGACGGAGAAACGAAGAACGAAGAAGGCGCTGACAAGAAAGCTGAAAACGAAACGACGCGCGCGCGCCCATTGAGCGGCGCACGTGTTGCGCGCCGGCACGCTCCCATTGGCCGAAATCGAAAGTCACGTGACGCAGCGTGCCGCCATAAAAGGGACGTCGGCCCGCGACGGAGTACCATCGAGAAAACTGGCGCGCGCTTGGGAAGACGTGAGCTAGTTTCGGTTTAGCTTTTCCGTACACGCTTGACTGGTAGCATCGTCGTTCTCAGTGACTCTGGTGTACGTTAAACCTGGTGCGGACGTTGCTTCGTTCGCTGCATCGTTGACGGTGCGTGACATCTTCACCGGCGGTACACGTTTGGTGTGCGTTGCAGTGTGGGACATCTACCCGCCACGAGAGATTCTGCTGCGAACAACCCGATCTCTACCGGAACAAGCGGCATCCATGCCTCTGGCAACAGCCGTGGCAATGACCCGCAAGAGCAGCGGGCTGTCTCCAATCCGCGTCATGGTCATGGGAAGCCAAAGCGTCGGGAAATCAGGTCAGTGAAGGCCGTGTGCTTTTTCTGTTTTCCCCGCTTATTTGGACGCAGCGGTAAAGCGGTCGGCACGATATTTTTTTGTGGCGTGACTTCCACTCGGCAAGCTAATGTTAAGGAAGAAGGTGATAAGAGGAGGCATAGTTTTGAGAACAAGGAACGACTACGAAAGGGTGCAGTGGAGCATACTTATTCTATGATAATGGGTACGAGATTTTTGAGAGCACGTATAAAAGCAATGTTTTTCGATGTTTGAGCACAACAATAACGCGAAAGCTGCAAACCTCACAGCTCCTCATCCTCATTCGGAAATTATGTCTATGACTCTGCTTAAAAACGTCTGCCTTGCTGAGTTGTCTCGAGTTTAAAAGTAGCATGCTCATATAAACTTTGATGAGCTCTTTTGAATAAGTCACAGATTGAAGAATTAATGTAGCTAGTTTTTATTCACAAATGTAGATACGTGCAGAACCGTTCTATAGCATGTGTTTCAAGTAAAAGTGAAAACATTTTATTTAGCAGATTATATGGCAGTGGTACGGCGCGCGACACTTTACATTACGACTTAGATACTTGTATTCCGCACAACTGTTACGTGATATTACGTGTGCATCGAATGATGGAAATGATGGCTTCAGCGGATGTCAAATAATTACTGCTGTCCAGTGATGATGTGAAATGTCAACCATGCAAAGACACGACTTGTGTATGTTTCTGTCAGCTGCATAATTCCCAACTTTTTTCTGCATGGTTGCATGGTATTACTACTTAGTACTAACTGCACCACTGGGAAAACAATATCGAGTGTGAAATAAGCATGCAGGCATCTTGTTAGTTCCCCTGAACGTCATCAGATGGTATGGAGTTTACCAAATCTGAGGGCGAGAGGTAGAGAAGATTTTCTGAACACTGCCCACAAGGAAACACCACTCACGGGGCTACCGAAGACTACGCAGTGAACTTATAAAACGAAAAGGTAACGGAATGCACGAGGAGGGTGCAGACCAGTGTAAAGAATATAAACAGCAGCGCTTAAAGCTCTAGGCAGCTGGGCCGGCTCTTTGGAAGTTTCGAGGCTGAGCCCGAACGGCAGGTGAAAAGAGGAAGACCATGCCAGGGACAGCTGTCGTTCATGTGGTGCGCCAGCTGTTCCATCCCAGACGCGTGGTGGGGCGCGTGTCGCCCATAGCAGACGACGCCGTGACCCCCGAGAAAAGACGGTCTCGAAAAAAATACTGAACGCCACCTGGCGATCGCTATCGATAAGAAAGGGAGGCGGGAGAGCGCGGCAGGGTGCAGCGCTTCTTCTTCTACTTCTTCCGCCCCACATCGCCTCGCTCACTTTGTTTGTTGCTCTACCGAACAGAGTGGTTTAAAAAGCGAAAAGTACACAAAAAACAGGACGCACCGGCTGCTCTCCGCAACCCCGAGCTGCATCCCAACCCGCCCTAGGGGGCGTCTCGAATCAAGAGAGGGAGAACGGGAATGCAGACTTTGATTGTTGGTTCGCTCAGCGTTGGGAGGGGGTGGGAGGGCTATAGGAAGGAGAGTACGTACGCGCACGCGAACGACGCATGGCGGCGAAACTGGGGTTGCTTTTTTTCTCTTCTTCTGCAACTTACCAATGTGTGGCGGTCGCTTCGCCTAGAAGCCCGTAGCGGCCCTCTTTTCGCAGCTCCTTTGCTTCTTTTTTGTCCCGCAATAGCCTCGGGCTTCTCGGAGGTGTTCACTCCGCCCCGGCAGCTGTCGACTGGGCCCTTTAAGTGTGCTCGCCCTTTCTCTCGTTCCCTACTTCTCTGCGCACGCGCTAACTCGCAGGTATAGCCTAAACCTCGCCGCCTAATACGATGCTGCGGATGCTTTCACACCGCCTTCTCACTCCGCGGCTGGTCTACATTCTCTAGCGCCGCTTGTTTGGCCCTACTCGGCACGTGTTTGAGAGATCGTAGTTTTTCGCGCGGACGGGCTAGCGCCCGTACGTGGGCAATTTTCTATCAGCTCCCATGTACACATTTCTCTTATTCGTTCAGCTCGTGCTTCGCTCCTGTTCTGCTTTCTTTCTACCTTACACTGAGCCTCTCGATGCAAGAATCAAGAAAGGAAGAAAACGCAAGTCATGCCGGATAGGTCAGTGAAAGTGCTCGCTCGGTCGAGCTTACATCCGACCATTGTGTGAAATGATGGCCAGTGGTCGTCCTTCGACCACGAGTTATAGCGTGTCGTAGAGTCGTGCGAGTCGAATCGAATCCTAGCGTCGTCATGGTATGATGTGAAAATTGGGCACATTCTTCTTCGATTTGCAGTGAAATCACTAGATGAATGGCGTAGTCGTTGTTGAGGCAACAGCAACGCTATGCGCTCGCGAGTGCTTGGCAAGATGAGGAATCTAAGTCTTGGTTTTGGTTGTTCCTTTCACTCTGAATGGCATCTTCGCGTCGCAACAACCGCATACTGGCTCTTGAAAACTCATCAACCAGGGGTCCCCAGTTCTTAAAGAAAATATGAGACGTTCGTGATCCTCGCTACCCTTGTACACATAATGAAGTCGAGAAGACAAGATGAAAATTTTTCGGTCCGCTTTGTCTAACGGGGCTGGTAATATGCACATCACGAATAATTTACCCTTCCAGGAAACATTGTAGACTGCACCCCCAAAAAATGTAATGGGTGCCACTAATACAGAGACGCTGCAGACCTAAAAGTCATTCGTTGGTTGCAGAGGAGTACTTGCGAAATGAAACATTTTCTAACAATCACACCGACGATCCTATCTAATTCTTTTCCACTGCTAAGAGCATATAAATTTATGTAGATTTCATTGCACTGTGGAACAATTACTTGCTCATTAACGGAGTTCCTTGAGACAACAAGATACGATAAAACCTACCTCTTCTAGAAGACGTCGTTTCAACAGAACAAGTGATCAAAACTACACGAAAGCCACCATGTAAGTCTTCCGAACCACACAAAAAAATAACACAAATCACTGGACAACTGTTCAAATCACTGGTGTTGTGGAAAGGCAAACCTTAAGTGCAGTGCCCATCTCACTCGTGCCACCCAAGATGCTCCCATAAGACAAGTGATTGGAGGGCGATAACGTGTGGTCGTCCTTACTGGAAAACAACACGAGAGAAGCGGCCAAGAAAAGCGCGGCTTTCCGGAAATTACAGAGCCGCGGGAGATGGACCGCTTTTCGCAACCACACGTCAAGCGCGGGGCGCGCTGACGGGCGGCAACATGTTGTGATAACAGGCCCGAGAACCCGGCTCTTCGCTGAACTAGCGATATCGCCAACAAGAAGAAGAAGCATGCTAGCGGTGTTTTTGCGCCCACATCAGCAGTCAATCTCAAGCCCGCTGGGAAAAGAGGGAGTCATTCGAAAATTACCCGTGGCCATCTTTGAGAAGACCGATATGCCGTAAGGTAACACTTGACATTGACGAAGAGTAACAGCGAAAGGAAAATACATATGGCCGAGTGGCTCGAGATTGTAATAGATTAGCCTACTTCGCACAATGAAGGAGAAAAGAGAAAGCAAGCATCGACAACTGCAATCTATAGCAATCAGTTTACCACCAGACAGGCAGATGAGCGCACAGAAAAATTAGCATGAGGGACGTTGGAAGCCTAACCACGACGATTTTATAGAAACAATCATCATAAGAAGGCACCTGTTCAAACGTGCTACTGTAACGGGGTTCCAAGAGTCTTCAGAAGGACCCTGAAAAGTCTTCAATGCTTGAATGCTCTTGCACGAGTTACGAGCAGTCAATAAGCCCCAAACGTATCGTGCCAATTCATCAAGAGCTTCAAGGACATTGCAATGCCTAGCAGGTGCACCAAAATACGTGGAGCAGCCACCATTGCGGCAGTTTACAAGCTAAGCTAACGGCTGACACAAACCGAAAAACCGGTGATGCCTCTTCAGCCGAGCAGCCAACCCTCGCCGGCGGCTTCTGACCTTGACGAAGACGGGATCGCGTTTCATACGTGGGGATTAAATGATCCATCACAGACGAGGATCCGGCCACGGCTGTCTTCGCCGCTCCCATCCGTATTTGGCTCGAGTGATTGAAGAACCGGTGGGAGACGCGATAGCGCGGCTAACCGTGACATGGGAGCCGTCATCACGTCGGCATTTTGTGGTGCAGGGGAAAGGGCGCTTCTTTTGGGGTTACGAATTAAGGGGCTGTGGCGAGACGCCTTCTGACATTTTACCTGTATGCAGAGGTTTGCGAGGACCTTAGGGTTAGGCAAGTGCTGCCGTCGTGATGCGTTATGTTTTCTTTTTTCTCAACGGCAGAGCGTTCACACGCAAAACACCAGGAAGAGCGGGGTGATGAGCTCCAGCTGCATTTGTTAAGCTACTGTGGTAATGATAAAATATGATATTTTCTATGATCTATGATTGGCATTTTCAAGCCGGTACGTTGCAGTTTCTCTTGGTATATTAAATTTCAACTTACTTGGAAGTTGGTTTCGCGGTTTATTATTCTTAGCAAAAGAAATTATCCGGCATAAGTTGCAGAGAATTTCGTCTTCCTACACCAGTTTTACAAGCTATCACGCTGATCCTGTAGTATGACAGTATGTCACGCAAAAATTCTGCGTCGTCCAAGAAGGTAACGCAGAATGGATGGCAAACTTGTATAAAGCATCAAATATTCCAAACGGTTTCTGCTTTCTCCTTCTCTTTCTCTCTCTACATACGAGTGTCGTAGGAACTACTGTAGCAACTTTAGGTTCTGATTCGTAGATGAATAGACAAGACTCCCTAGGGGTTCCACAGGGTGGAGCACCACGCATTTCAGCGACCATTTTGAAGTCATGATGCAGTGTATAACGCCGGAAATGTACGCCACAACTTATAAGTGTTTCTTTTTTCTCATTTCAGCTGTGACAGTGCGATTTCTCACACGGAGGTTCATCAGCGAGTACAGCTCGATGAAGGACCTGCTCTACAGGCACACAGTCCTCGTGGACAACCGGGCCTTGGAACTGGAGATCCTGGATACATCTAGATATCAGGTAAGCAGAAGCATATTGCATTGTAACTGCACGTCCTTTTCGAAATAATGTGCATAAAGTTCATCCGGATGCATCGTCTACAAGTACTTTTACAGTCAAGCGATGTAATTAAGGCAAGAATGAGTACTACATTCTAGAAGCATCTAGAAGGTGCACTTAATGTCAGGTAATCACTCAGGGATGCCTTTTAGATGTCTGTAAGGAATACATATAGTATTAGTTGCAGGGTTCACTATGTGAAGTGCGTCGTTTTTACTGCTCTATCACAATTATACTTACCGTAATTCTATTTGAAGTTGTCATTATTCAATAAAAACCATACGAGCATAACTGCTAAGAATAGGTAATTATATCTCGTTTGACATTCTCCTATTCCTCTTTGCTTACGCAGGAGAACAAATTTCCCGAGGACAAAATGGGCTGGGCTGATGCCCTGGTCGTCGTCTACAGCATCGAGGACCGATGGAGCTTCGAAGAGGCCAGCGTCTGCCTCCAGAAGGTGCAACAGCTGTGCCCGTGCCTGCCCACCATACTCGTGGCCAACAAGCGAGACCTGTCCCACGTGCGCCAGGTCGAAGTGGACGATGGCCGACAGCTGTCGCTGCAGCTCCACTGCCAGTTCTACGAGGTGTCCGCGGCCGACAGCTACGCCGGCGTCAGCATGGCCTTCCAGAGCATACTGCGTGAGGTCCTCGCGACCAAGATACTCCGGTCCCTGACCCCCGTCCGGCGGCGACTCACCGTGGTCACAGTCTCGAAGATGCTGGGAGCCGTCTTCGGCAAGAACGGCAAGCGCCACAAGAAGAGGCCCTCTCTGTCCTTGTAAACGGTCCAAGCAGTGCGAGAGACAATGCACACTCGTACCCGTGTACATACAACGCGCCTACATCCAAGTGAAACAAAGACGCTCTCAAGGAGTGCTTTGTGATTGGACACTTTATTTGGTTTCCTGTCTTTGTAATTTGTTTTGGTGCCATGCCAACTTACTGTGAAAACATGCGTGCAACCGTGTTGGTGTCCTGCCCAAATGTGAGGCATTTCTTAAGAATGTACAGATTTTATCGGAAGTACCTGGGTCATACTGAGTTTGACAATGATAAGGCCAAAATAAACATGGCTTGTCTCGATGTGCTCCGCAACTATGTGACAGAGTGAAAGGGACGGTCACCACCACTACGTATATAACGCCATCGCTTGAATTGAAATATGCTATAAGGTATTGCGCACACTGCACTGTGCTTGTTTTAAATAATGGAGCAACTCACCTGGAATAGTAGATGGTACAGCAGGAATAGTTTGTCAGGCATTACAAGGGAAAATTTTCGTTTCATCTTGTTTCGCCATGACTTTGGCTGCCCTATTTAATTTTAAATTTGCCGTCTCAATGTGTGGAAAGCCGTTTTTCTCTTTTTTTATTTTTATTATTTTGAGTCTAGGCTCCTTCTATTAACGTTTAAAGATGAAGCCCTCGGTACCAATGAAAACTTGCTCGGTCTTGTGATCTTTAAAACCGAGAGTTGTGAATAGTGTGTTTTTGTAGTTGTAAGAACCGCGACAGAATCAAAAGTGGCCGGAAACCGCCAAATTTTTGTGTACCACTCATGGTGAAGATATTCATCACCATTGAGGTGCACCACTTTAGAAAATCCAGGAACCTTTTGCTCGCTGGCTTTGTGCAGCCGAGGAATATCTAGTCGCTAGGCTGTTGATCTTTGGACCGACACGACAAATTCTCAATCGGTAATGCAGAAGTCGTTTGTACAGCAATACGCTCAACGGTAACCGTGTCATACGAAGAATTACTAACGATTCATTTATGTGCCAAGAATAGCAGTGCTCAATTGGTCACTGCCAGACTGTGATATAAGCCAAGTTTGAAATAACTTTATGTTGTCCCGTTGTGTATTTTTGCTTCGTGAAGGTGTGCTGAGATCTTCAGTATTCTGTGTTATGACGCTGCCTCGAACACCACATCACGCACATTCTGGTGTGGTTTTTTATCGGGAGGCCGCAACGTACTGTCATTAGAAGGGAACAACGCTAAAAGACCTCTACTTGTACACTCCTGGTTTCATTTCATTGTGTCTAATTAAGCACTTAAATTATGAATTTCATGTCATGTGTATTATTTATGAATTAGATTGTCATTGACGTGTTCATTTGCGAAGAGAACATAGCATTTTTCACTGGGTGGCAGATGTATGCGCCGAGCTCATTTTGATGCTCAAAAGTTCCTGTCGTCATTGTCGCCTTAATATACTTACTCTTGCCGCCGAAAATAAATTGTGAATGTGATTCTCTATTGCAGTTGGTCTTGTTTTCTTGGAATGGAACGTTTTTCTCTCGGTAATTATGGAATTGGTAGTGCAAACGACATGGAAGTGCAAATGGCAAATATGGAAGTGCAAATGACACTTCCATATTTGACATAAATCACATTTGCACTTCCTCATGGAATCCCCGCCGCGGTGGTCTAGTGGCTAAGGTACTCGGCTGCTGACCCGCAGGTTGCGGGATCAAATCGCTGCTGCGGAGGCTGCAATTCCGATGGACGCGGAAATGTTGTAGGCCCGTGTGCTCAGATTTGGGTGCACGTTAAAGAACCCCAGATGGTTGAAATTTCCGGAGCCTTCCACTATGGCGTCTCTCATATTCGTATGGTGGTTTTGCGATGTTATACCGCACATATCAATCAATCAATCACTTCCTCATGGAAGTGCAAATGACAATTAAAAAAAACAACGTACGATATATTGACACAGAACAATGTCATCACGAGCTGTGAAATGGCGAAAGATGCAATATTCGCGAACGTCAACGCTGTATTTGAGGAATAAAGGAAACAACACCGTTCTAACATGCCGTATAAGGCTGTATTTGTGAGACATGTTAATTTCTGGTTTACCTTTGAAATTGTACAAGTATCAGAGGTGGTGGGCCTTGTTGACGTCACATTATTTGTACGGGTCACATAACTTAGTGCACGTACTAAAAATAGGGCTTTTTCCAAAATATTGACAGAAAGTGCACTGACAACACGGCAGATTGAGTAAACATAGAAGATAAGTGCGTTTCTTAAGCTGATCTTTCACCTATGTTATCTCTGACCCGATGGTATTTCAGCTATGACAATACATTCTGCAATAGGAAATTGTGATTGCGGGAACATTGCAACTAAATGGATTCGTATAAATTTGAGTTGTGCAGCTTCTAAATTAAGTTGGGAGCTCTATTATACATATTTATTTATTTCAACACTGCCTTCGTAATTCGTGGTGACCGGGAGGTCATAGCCAAATATGGCACACACTGCACATTATATATTTACCGGTTAACTGCGGCCATGTCAAAAGCCAGCCGCAAAAGCAGGATATCGTGCCGCGTAATTTAAAAGAGTGAACTTCCGCCAAAAAAAAGTGAAAAGAAATGTAACGCACTCAGGCTACACATCCTGAGCGCTCATTACGTTCATTCTCGGTGTTTTTAAAGATTAAACAGAGACCACGGGACCTGTGACGGTACAACGCTTCGAACTTGAAAAGCTAGCCTTTGTGTAAGCAATTCGGAAATGTCAAATCCTTCTGATATCCTCGGTAACCAGAAATTGTGACACATCCGCCTTGCAGTATATGTGATGTGTTCATAGCAGCGCACACGTCAGAATGCTATACAAAGCAATGCCCGAGAAAGCAGTTGGTCTTCACACATACTTCACGAGATGATTTCCACCAGACGTAGCGCAGGTACGGGGTGCCAGCAGATGGGTACCGTGAACCCGGACGCATTATGCCTCTTTATCTCCATGCCTCTTGGAAGAAAAAAAAAAAGAAGAGTGGATGCCACATCTGTATCTTCGCATCAAGTCGCGGACAGTGCGGTTTCTTCAAAGTGAAAATTCTCCGCGTCTTCAAAGGCCGAAACCGACTCCTCTCCGTAGGTGGATCATGCGAAGCGGAAAAAGAATACACGCGATGCATTTCGGCGAGCGGGTTCTTGACGCTCGGCTCCCGTTGAAAGAGGCCCCGACGTTGGCGCGCCCGTGAACGCCAAGCCGGCGCTGAGGGACACAACCTTGGCTTGGATGCAAATGACCAATGCGTGAGGGTGCGAGGCCGGCTAGCTCTCTCGAAGGGAGTGGGGGGGTCGTTGGCCACATTGCGCGCACTTGAGCGGCCCTGCCTGGCGCGGCTCCAAGTAGGCTCAGCTGCTGTGTTGTCCTGGACTTCGCGGACGGTTCTTTTACCCCCCACGCTGCCGTTGGTATTCCCTGTTGTCATGCCGGGCGTGGGAGGCAGTGTTGCCCTTGGGGCAGCTGTTGTAGCCTCTGTTATGTTGTATGAGTCGAAAGTCTGGGTCAAATAAAAAGAAGTTGCACTGCATACACCGACACAGTTCCTCAAATCTCAAGCCTCAAACCATCATGCCAACATAAACGACCCTGGTGTGGGGACTTCAATTATAATGATAAAACAAACGCGAATGAAGCTGAACTCGGGACTGTGGTAAAGGTTCTACGAAATACTTTATTAGCAAATTTCACGAGAGTGGTTACAGGACGCAGATAGCTCTTAGAAGAGAAACAAAGAACAAGGCCTAGTGTTTAGTTAACAACCACATGAGTGAAGAGGAAATGAAGATCAGATAACTTTAGAAAACATCCTGATTCTTTACTGATGGTGCCGTTAAAAAAACTTCTCACTTGCGATCACATGAGCATGCTGACTCCATTAATTAACGTTGGCGATGCATCCTTCTCAGCCATGTAGCAGTGCTCAAACGTGAAAGCCAAAAAAAGGCATTGTTTTAAGAGGCTGTCAATGACCCCCTTCCTCTGGACCAGCTTTTCCCGACGATTACATATTCATCACATTCGAAAGCATTTAGTACAGTCGTCATAGGCGATGAACACCAGTGTACGTGTTACAACTTCAGCATTGATCTACGAAGTAAGCTATGGTGACGATTGTGTTTATTTTACTATCTACGTTGTTATATGCGTCTTCAAGGCAACACTGTTCTTGCTATCAAAATAAACGCGCTAGTTTTGTATTCCTACTAATAGGCGAACTGGTTCCAGCAAGCCTGAAAAAAAAATAATAACTACCGATGTTGCCTGTATATGCAGAGACTGAATATTTATATGAATTGATGCTGCTATCCTTACAGACTTGCGTAGGCCACGAAGTGGTCATTGAAAATGTGCGAAAGAATAGCAGGCCCACTTTGTACAAATTTATGAGCATAAACCTTCAAGCTTCAAGTAAAATTCAGTAAAAGTAGAATTCAGTAAATTCAGTAAGCTTCAAGTAAAATTACAATTCAAGCTGGATGTTCTTGAAAAAAAAAACTGTTTGCTTCACCACGCACCATTTGTTGAACCAGCTCTATGGTTTGACCTTTGTTGCAACAGGAACAAGTCAGATTTATTTCCTTTGCGGCATAAAAGTGCCCTGATTTTTGAAGACAGAGTGGTCTGCCAAAGAACGTCAGTAAACCTCTACTGACGCAAGTTTGCTCAACTGCACAGAGCGTCTTCAAATCTCAGATTTTAGGTTTATTTTATTTTTCTGTACATAAAAGATACGAAGCAAAAGCAAAAGGCGTTAAAGCCTCACTAAGGCTTTTGCTGTGACGTAGAATCTGTGAATAGAGCCAACGCAGCAATAGCTACTGGACTAGTAAGGTATTGTCTTGGGCTCCCATGGCGTATATTTCTTCCCAACTAACAAAAGCAACAAGAAAAAAAATATAAATGTCGCTTGTCATGTACAAGTTTGGTGTTGTAGTTGAAGTTTCATTTTCCTCAGCACCTTGGGGAGAAAGGCTTTACTAAAAAGTAAACCGGCATCGTTGGCCACTGAAACTGACAGTTATTGAAACAGGCATACCACAATAGCCGACCGTGACTCAACCTGGCAACAGGAACACACAAAGGCACACGTCGACCTCTCGAAGCCTCTCTTCCATTCCGTGCCAGACGGTCAATGGGGTGCCTGTTTATATGCGGGAACCACTTTACCATAAGGGGGCCGAAGAGGAATCCTCCTCGTGGCCCGCTCGTTGGCGCTGATAAATATTTGGGCCCCGCACCGGACCAAAGCCAGTGTTGCTCCTCTGTGGGCACCTCTACTGGGGCGTGCCTGAAAGCACCGGCGCGATGATGAACGAGAGACGTTGTGCCGTGGAGGGAAGCGGGAGGCGGTTGCCGTCTACCCGCGAGCACGGCAACCCCCCCTCCTCATTTGTGACCGCTTAGTTCCGGTGAAGGCGAATGCGCCCCCTTTCTTTAAAGCCGCGCGCGGGGGCCAGCCAAGAGAGAAACGCTCTCGACGCCAACTAGAGAACAGGAAGTGGAGAAGGTGCTATGTTTGGGTGTGCAAGAAGCTTCGCTTTAATGAATCGCGTGCAGACGGTTGCGGCTTATACGGTGTAGTTTGAAAACACGCCGCGAGCCGGCCAGGTGACGTCAGCTGGCTGGCTGATTCGTAGGCTGGTTGTAATGAGGTGTACTATTGGATATTGCTTTGTCAGCCATATTGAAGCGTAGCGCGGAGAGATTTGAACACCAATGAAGAAAACGCTGGAGGCACAGGCTGACCAAGGAGACATGAACTCACGTGAAAAAGACTCAAAGGACACAGGCACAGAAGACGCCAGCTTACCACTGAAGTTTGAAAAAGGTTTCTCAAGTTGGCACTCGGTGCACCTCCTGTGTCCTCCACTCTGGCGTCAGGTTTCTTTCGCGCCAGGCTTCAATGTGAATTAATGTATAGCTCGTCAAGTGTACAAGTAGTGACGTCCCCTGGTGACGACTCCGTGACGTGACGGATCACCAGAAGTTGTTACGCCGTCATTCTTACATCACTGCTGCCTCACCTAACACGACAACGTCATCACATGACATTGTTGCTGGGTCGAAGATAGGCGAATCCAAGAGACAGCGCAAAACCACGTTACAGGTAGAATGCTCCCGTAGAGAGTGGTGGAAGGAGGTCACTACTGCAACGAAAAAGGTGTTATTTTCACCTTCCAGCCGTACAAAAACAGGCAGAAGAGACCACACAGTTTTGTAATCTGCTCCTTGCAAGGGCAGTGCAGTTCCAGGTGACGAGAAGATGAGACGTCACTTAGCCGTTCTTGCAAAATCACAAAATGCAACATATGACCACCGGGTTCTTGTTCTTGCCCCGGCACCTTGTCTGCAACCGAAGCAAGAGGCGTTCTCGTCTCTGGTACGTGCCTCCCGTGTGTTTTGAGTTGCCTGCAGTGGGACTGTCGCATAACTAGTCTACCTGGCGCCTAC